AAGAAAGAAAGGGTGCAAGAGAAGAAAAGGAGAAGGAGAAGGCAGCAGTGCAGTGCAGCACAGCATGCCCTGACAGGTCCTAGAGTAGGACCTAAGCATAGATTCTACATACCCAGCAGGCCCCATTGTGGTGCCTGGATCATTGGGTACAGACACTCTGGGAATCCCAGAGTCAAACTCCCTTTTTATTGGAGCAGTGGGAGGTGTTCCTGCAGTAGCGTCTGAAAGGATGTGAACCACTGGTGGGGGGGGGGGGGGGGAGAATTAAGATTCCCCAGCAATAACAGATGTAGATTTTGGGGCAGCCGCCTAACAGTGTCCCCATTTATGGCCCATATATTAGTGGGACAGGGATTAGGGTCCACCATATTTGTGAGGGGTGATAGCCCTTCATTGAATCGACAATATGTATCTAATCATCATGCCACTTCTCATGTGTGGGTACCTTTCCAAGGTACATGAACTCTGCATCCACATCCAACCGAGTTCTCACTGGGGGCTCACTGTTACAAAAATGGGGCCGGAAGCGCCCATTTTCGTCTGTTCTGGCGTAGGAATAGGGAAGGGGGTTGGACATAATGGTTTACAGGTGGTTTCACAGATGGTTTGACATGTGGTGTAAAAGATGTTAGCACAGCGGGTTTTTGGTTAATTATTGATTAATGATTGGTTAAACTTAATTACTATACAAATCATGTGATACAGAACCCATAAGAGTCTAAAATGGGAAATTCCCATTTCCATAACACTCACAAGGCAAATAGGTGTTTTTGCCTCCTCTTTAATTCACCAATTGGATTAACCATGATGGTTGACCCAGTGCCTCTATGCCTAGACTTGGGTGCTTTAATGATACCCTTGTTTCCTGTTAGAGACCTGAGTGAGATGAGGGAGTTGTCTCTGTGGCAGAGGGCTTTGGCCTCAGCAACTCAGGCCAGGAGTGCTGTGCCAAGTTACACATCCATGCCCTAATTTACTTACTGGAAATGGGAACTAAAAAGGGGGATCAACTCTAGTCGATTTTATCAATAGGGTGTAACCTATCTACAAGTCATGTATATATAGTTACAGCGAGGGTGGGCCTGTGAATAGCAGGACCAAGCAGAGCAGAGCTAATGGGGATAGATGTTAGCTGACTGAATATTACTGACAAGTCGGGTTGCGGGTTTAGCAGAATGATGGGTTATAACCCATAAGCAGAAAGGAGGGATAGGCCTGAAGGTAGACTTGCAGGGCAAGCAAGTGAATTTCCCAGTGGAGGTGGGGATGCACTAGCAGATGTTGGAGCTGTCCAGAGAGCTTTGGGGCTCCGTACTTAGGGAGGCATAGGTAATATATTGAATTGGAGAGGTGGTGACCATCGGGGGGGTTGGAGGTGATTGCAGAAACCGGAGGCTCCGAGGTTAGTGGTGGAGGAGCGGAGGTAATCCAGAAGGATCAGAGGTAGTGGAAGATGATGGCCATGGATGGATATGACATTTTCATCATCTGACAAATCCAAGCTGATTGTGATAGGAGGCTCTCGAGAGCCTTTTACAGTCCTAAGGTCATTCAATTTTAGAACTGTTGAAATAACCACCCCAGCCTAACAGGGCATATGGTGTAATGGCAGTGCATGCTGAGTTCGTGATCCAGAAGACTGGAGTTTGATTCCCAGTATGTCCAACTTTTAGGTTTCCCTAAAAGACCATGTGCAAATTCCAACAAGAACAGCCCCTCTGACCACCTCCTCTAGGATGGCAGTTAGGTTCACTTCATCCCCAATACCGGGAATGGGCTGTTTACTCTGAAAGGGGCCTTGGGGTTCAGTTCCCCATTTGACCCACTTGTCATATCTGTACATACCCGATCCCAATCCGACTTCTGGACCCTCTGCTTCACCACCTCCAGATTCCTACCTTATCTCTGTCCGCTCCGATATCCACCTTCAGACCAAACTGTCAGGGACAGCTCCGAAAGCGGCGAGGTCCCGGCGTGAGGGACTCGATGGGACAGATGTCGGCTATGCGTAGCGGCGGTCCCGTTGCAGGGTGAGCGTCCCCGACCACTTAGTCTGAAGTGGGAAGTTGAGAAGAAGGCTGCTTCTTCTGTTCCCACCCCAGGTGCTATTATATACATGCGGCTGAGGTCACATGGGAGGAGCCACGTCATCCCCACACACAGCCACACTCCCCTGGGTATCTCCGTGGGAGATCCCGGAGGTGTGCCGCTCTGTGAGCAGGAATGCACACAGCGGGCGCGGCGATCGGGGGAGTGGGGTTAAGTGTGTAGTAATACATAGAGAAGGGGAAGTTGACCATGGAATGGAAATAGAAAGAAAGAAGGAAAGGGGAAAGAAGAAACAGGGAGTGATAGCGGGGGAGCAGAGTAGGGCGGCGTGGCGCGGGGTCAGGTGGGGTGTGCCCTGACACAAACATCACTCCTCCTATCACTCCTCACGTTACCTCCTTCCCTTCCATTGTAATGGGTCTATCACCACTAGACTCGAGACAGAAGAGAGGGGGAGGGTTGGAGTGGTAGCATGCACAGGTTCGTTCACTTGGAGTGGATTCTGCTACTCCTCACTGTCTAGCTAACTATACAGCTGGTCACGGTATCATGGAAGAGTCCAAAAATGACAAATAAGGAAAGAACCATAAGAAAGGGAAACATTGGGCTCTGGTGACTAGAAATGGAATCAGAAAAATCAGGAAAAATAAGAAATATGCAGGAGAGAACATTGGCTAAGGGTGGTAGAATCGCAGGATTTGGCTTGTTTATGGTACACCAGCAAATCCCTGTTACACCATCCCTCTCCTACCCTATCACCATCCACTCCGATATCCACCTTTGGACCTGATATCACTCCTCTTATTCCTCCTCTTACTCCACTCCTAACTCTTCTCCTTCCACCCCTCTTCCACCAAACCTCCACCAAGTTACAACCTTCCACCATGTCAGGGCCCGGCCCTCATTCCGCGACGGGCCCAGGGGGATCCTCCTAGTCGCTGGGGTATCTAGTCCCAGTCCGAGATCTTCGAACTCACTGAGGGGGCTAGCCCCAGCCTTCACAGGAAATGAGTTGCTGTGCATTTAGGGAGAAGGTAGTTACACTTGCCTTCACAGGAAATGAGTTGAGAAGAAGGGTAACCTTCTCAACCTCCTGTGAAGCCGCTACAAATGGGAGTCGGGAACTATACAGTTTTCGGCTCTTTGCCGACTTTCCATAATTGGCACCCCCCCCATGGGAAGATTCTGGGCAAGCTGCTCGCCCAGAACGTTCCCATGGGTCTGCATGCATGCGGGATTGTGGAACAGTGAAGGGAAAAATTGGAGAAAATGGGGGAAGGGTACCTGAGGGTGTGTGGGGTCAGGGGCTGTGCCCTGACACACCACCATCCCATACCTCGTACTTGGACACCGCCCATACCTTCGCTCTGAGACTCCATCATGGTCCTGACCTCGGACTTTGACCCCACCTCGGCTTAAGTCCATTGCATTGGTGACCTCATTCTACATAAACACCATTGCCAATATTCCTTGGACTTTCAACCCTGCCTCCACAACCTCCATAAGCTCTGCAACCTCCAAGCTTTATGGACCATACTTGGCACTTTTGCCACTTGTAATGTATCTTTTGCACTTTCCCCTCATCCCTATTTGGACTACTGCTTCCTTTCATTTTAGCCAGTTAGTCATCAACCCCACTTCACCTCATCCTCCTGCCCCTTTGGGCTTCACCCTCCCTATGTCAGGGCACACCCACCTGACCCGGGTCCACCTGACCCGGGTCCACCTGACCCGGGTCCACCTGGACCCACCCAGCCACACCTCATCTGCTCCCCACTGTCCATCCCTCTCCTTCCTCCCTCCTCCCTCTTTCCCTCTTCCTTTTCTTCTCCTTTCTTTATTTCATTCCTCTCATCTTCCTCTTCCTGTTTATTCCTTCTATCCACATGGACCACTTTCCTTTGTATCAATGTACTATTGACCCATCCGGCCCACACACCCCAGACAGCTCCCCGCTGTGCCCAGCACGTGCGCATGCAGCGGACACTCTTGGGATCCCCCACAGGGACACCTGGATGGCTGTGGCTGTCTCCAAGGATGACGTGGCACCTGTCATGTGACTCAAGCCGCATGTACATAAATGTACCTGAAGTGGGAACTGAAGAAGTAACCTTCTTCTCACATTCTCCACTTCAGTCTGAGTGGCCAGGGACTGCTGTCCCTTTCCAGACCTGCCAGTATGCATGCCTGGTTTGCACCCCACAAGGGCCCTTCTGCTGAGCGATACATCCGGACCCCCTCTACCCTGGATGCATCCCTGACACCCTACCTCCTTTTGGATGTACCACAGAGTCTAACCTATGACCTTTGGTACTGCTCCACTTCCATCATCCCTTTGTCTCCATTTGGACACCTTTGTTCTGATTTGGACCCCCTTTGATTTCCTTGTGCTTTTGTCTCTTGTCAGGGACATGTCCAGGGTGGAGGGGGCCCGGATGTAGCACCTGGCAGAGGGACCCTCTTGGGGTGCGAAGTGGGCATGCATATTGGCATGCCCGATGCAGGACAGCAGTCCCTGGCCACTTATACTGAAGTGGAAAAGGTGAATTATTATTGAAAGGGGAAAACTACACTAACTTACCTGAAGTGGAAAAGGTGAGAAGAAGGTTACTTCTTCTGTTCCCACTTCAGGTACATTTATGTACATGTGGCTTGAGTCACATGACAGGTGCCACATCATCCTCAGAGACAGCTGCAGCCATCTGGGTGTCCCTGCGGGGGATCTGTCAGGGCTCGGTCCTCGATCAGGGACAGCCTGGCCTCAGGCCAAGGTGTGTGCAATGTTCTGGGTGCCTGGGTGCTAGGCTGTAAGGAGTGGTAACCCCACCCTTCATTCATTATCTTATTGTATATTTGTCTCGATTTAAACATGTATAAACAATGTATATACAATAACGTGGGAATTTGGGAAAAGGAACACTCCTTTTCCTCCCCATCGTTGATAATTAAAGCTCAACTTTATTGACGACCTGAGGATTGAGGAGAACTGGGGTTGGAACCTACACCAACCCCTTACACTTTTTTGAGCTTAATAGGCTTTATTCCCACACCCGCGCACGCATATTCGCGCGCACGGGTTATTCAACACCACCCACAACTTGCCTTCTAGACATGGAGCCTAGAAGGGTAACAAGTTTTCCCCCAGCTCTGCAAAGAGCTGACTCTATGCACGAAAGTGCATATGGTTCCATGACCAACTCCAATGCTGGTGACGCCAGCATTGGTCAACCCAATCTTGACCAGATTGGTGTTTCCACCGTGTCTCTAGGGCCTGTTGATCCCCCAGACACGTCTAAAACGTCTCCAGAGCTGACATTGGCTGATTTCTATCAGCTGCTCAAGTCGGACTTGGTCCAGATGGAGACCCGGCTGTCCGAGTCTCAGGACAGGATCGAGCGCAGATTGACTGCGGTCGAAGAACGACAAAATCGTCGTTTGCGCCGGTCCCAAAACGTGCCGGTTCCTTTGGAGCTGTCCCAGCCCAATCCCATTCTCCCTCAACCAGTCCCATGCCAGGTTGAGAGCAGTCCGGCGCCTGCGGACTGCAAACTCGCAGAAGCGTGTAGCGCTTCTGCGAGTCCTGAGCCGTTACCGGCTCACACTGTCATTACCGGGTCTGGAACCGTCCCAGACCCGATCCAATGCCATCCTCAACCGGTTTTAGACCAGGTTGAGAACAGTCCAGCACCTGTGGAGCGCTTCAGCGAGTCCTGAGCCGTTACTGGCTCATGCCATCATTCCCAGGTCTGGAACCGTCCCAGACCCGACCCGATCCTCTCTCCCACCCGTTGGGCCCCCTTTCCCAGAGCCCCGGAGGGAGTTTGAGTTCCTGGAGAACTCGGCGCTTGCCGTTCTGGCAAGCGCGATCTTCCTTAAGCCCAGTAGAAATACTGGGCTACACCACTTGAGATCGGCTGATACAGCCGATCAGCTGCCTTCATATCTGAAGGGAGATCGCGACTCGAAGGACAGGATCAAATCCTGATCCTTTCTCCCCGATTGCGCAGACTGGGACAGTCTGCGCTACTTTCGCTGCTATTGACTAGCAGCGTTCCCTCATTCTGAGAGGCTCCATAGCCTCTCAGACTCTCCTAGACACTCCCTGCTAGCCTGGCGCTAGCGGACCAACTTCTCAGCTTGTGCTGGGAAGTTTTCCTTAACCCGCTGGCGCGTGGATCGCGCCAGATTCTTCCATACCCGATTGTGTCGGGTTCCTCATTTCCCAAGGCTGCGATACAGCCTTGATTCGACCCCTCTAACCGCTCCAAATCGCGGTTAGTACACAGGTCCACAGCCCTTAGTGACTGTGAACAACTGCGCGATAAAAAATCGCGCCAACGCTTTAGTGGGCCCCACTGCCCACTTCCCTCTATTTCCTCTCATACTGAGAGGTTAGGGATGGTCTATACGACCACCTCCAAACTGGTTTAGACCAGATCGACGGCACCTCAGCGTCTGCTGAGTGCCAGCTCACCAAAGCGCTTCGCGCTTTGGCGACTTCTGGGCCAGTTGAACAAACTGGCCATATCTTCTTATTTCATCTAGAAAGGATACAGACAGTCTATACGACCGTCTATACGCTGGATACCAGCCAGAACAAGGGCACCTCAGTCCCTGCTGACTGCCAGCTTAAAGAAGCGCTCCGCGCTTCAACCATTTTTGGACAGTCTGATAAACTGTCCATTTCCCTCTCACTCACACTCATTCTGGGTGTGTAGAAACGGTCTATAAGACCGTCTCCTTACTGGTTATCCCCAGTATTTCGGCTCTTCAGCTGTTGCTGAGAGCTGACATCTAGAAGCGCAACCCGCTTCATCGTTTTTTGGGTTTGCATCACATATGCGCCCCCTACTACTACTCCTCTCTTGCTGAGGAGTTAGAGACGGCTGAATAAGCTGTCTCCCTGTTATATTTAAGTGCCACTATGCACTTACTGAGCACTGGGCCATATAAGCGCGCTTGCGCTTCTGGCCCAACTCCATTTTTACCCATCTTTATGGGTAATAACTTGATTTCCCCTCCCTAACAATCGTTTAGGGAGGAGAGGCCTTCATTGGCCAGGGGTTTATTGACCCCAAACACTCCCTAACAGTTGTTTAGGGAGGAGTGGCCATAAATGGCCTAGGGTTTCACGACCCTATGTTTTTATTTTTTACTTTTATTGTTAAAATTCCTGTAAATCAGGAATTTGAAGGCCTAATCGCCTTCACAAGTGGAGGTCTAACCACCTCTACATTTTTATCTTAAAAATTTTAATTTTTTGATTTGTTCCTGTTAAACCAGGAACTTCTGGAGCTGTCACACCAACAGCTCAGTGGAGGCTTAACAGCCTCTACATTACTCTTATTCCTTGGACCATCAAACCAATGGTTCTGTAAAGGCCTAACAGCCTTTACTTTATTTTAACTTCTTGATCTGTCAAACAACAGATCTGTGGAGGGTTAACAGCCTCTACCTTACTATGTATTGTTTCTTGATCTGTTGAAATGACAGATCTGTAGAGGCCTAACAGCCTCTACCTTAATTTTATTCTATGAACTGTCAAAATAACAGTTCTGTTAAGGCCTAACAGCCTTTACATTAAATCTTTAACTTTGTAAATTTTTTTAATGTTAATTTTAAAACTGTCATCCCAACAGTCTTGTGAAGGTTAATGACCTTTATATTTCACATTCTTTTATATTTTTCAAAATTTAGAATCTCAATTTGTAAAGGTTGAACCACCTTTACTATTCACTTTCATTTTTTTTTTCCCTTCTTCCCATTGTTATCCCTCTTGTGTGTGATATTAATATCACAAGGGAGGAGAGTGTAAGGAGTGGTAACCCCACCCTTCATTCATTATCTTATTGTATATTTGTCTCAATTTAAACATGTATAAACAATGTATATACAATAATGTGGGAATTTGGGAAAAGGAACAGAACTCCTTTTCTGTCAGGGCACACACCTTGACTAGCCCGGACCCGGACCCGCATCCGGACCCGCTTCCACCTGCCATGCTTCCTGTTAGAACGGGGCTGATACAGAGGACTCCGGAGTGGAATCGGAGACTTAGCATGGAGGGACCTTGGCCTCAGCAACTCAAGCGGAGTGCTGTGCCATTGCTGTTTGTCCATTTGGTCCTTAATTTCACAGTAGGTGAGCAGGAAGTCTCTAGGGGGCATTTCAGGTCGATTTCGGACTGAACCAAAACGAGTATGTACAAGTGCCGATATATATAATGAGGGGGCAAAAGCACAAGGAAACAAAGGGAAGAAGGAGCGGAGCGGTACCGAAGGTCATAAGGCAGGACCTGTGATACATCCGAAAGGAGGTAGGGAGGGCAAGGCCCAGAGGGGCAGGAGGATGAGGAGAAGTGGGGGTGATGACTAACTGGCTAGAATGGGAAGAAGCAGTAGTCCAAATAGGGATGAGGGGTAAACGTGAGAGATACATTACAGGTGGCGAAAGTGCCAAAGGCGATCTGCGAAGCTCGGGGGTTGCGGAGCTTATGGAGGTTATGGAGGCGGGGTTGAAAGTCCGAGGGATATTGGCAATGGTGTTTACGTAGTATGAGGTCACCAATGCAATGGACTAAGACCGAGGTGGAGTCAAAGTCCGAGGTAGGGACTATGACGGAGGCTCGGAGCAAAGGTACGAGCAGTGTCCGAGTACGAAGTACGGGACAGCGGTGGAAGGTTGTAACTTGGCAGAAGGGTGGCAGAGGAGTACCAGAGGGAGGAGAGAGGGGAAAGGTAAGGGGGAAGGAGTGGCGGAAAGGAGGGTTGTCAGGTCCAAAGGTGAGTATCGGAGCAGACGGGGGAAGCGTAGGAGGATGATGGGAGGGTGGAGGTGTTGTGAAGGGGGAGCGGAGTAGGAGGAGGAGGAGTAGTAGGAGGGTGGCGAGAGGGGCAGTGTTCGGTCCGAGGTGAGTATCGGAGCGGACGGAGATAGGGTCGGAGAGGTAAGGAGGAGTAGAGGTGGCGTGGGGGGTAGAAGGAGGTGTGTTGCCAGGACCGAAGGTGAGTATCGGAACGGCAGCGGTAGGTTATGACTCTGGAGGTGAAGAGGGTGGAGGTCCGGAAGTCGGGTCGGGGTCGGGTATGCATGGATATGACACTTCCCACATGCACACATGCTCCGTGCGCCACATGCTACCCTTCTGATGAACCCTTAGGAGTTGTTCCATGCAATCTCGGTGTCATACAAGGCCCCACCCTGTCAGGGACCGACCCGGGGTTGAGAGCGCCCGGGTGTATCGCCCAAGGCTGAGGGTCTGGTAGGTATGACGCGGGCATGCGTAACAACGGGCCCAAAGCAGACAAGGGTCCCTGGCCACTGAGACTAAAGTGGGAAATGTGTTATTGTTATTATCAAGGGAAGTATAAGCTACTTGCCTAAAGTGGGAAATGTGAGAAGAAGGTTGCTTCTCAGTTCCCACTTAGGCTGTGTTTATATACATGTGGTTGAAGGCCACGTGGGAAGCGCCACATCATCTGAGCACACAGCCACCTCCATCCGGGTACCTCTGTAAGAGGTCCTAGGAGCATCCGGTATGCAGGGGGTCGTCCGGTGTGTCCGGGTTTGGGCGTGTTACACTGCAGCTGGGTCAATGGTACATTGATACAAAGGAAGTCATCCATGTGATAAGAAAGGAATAAAGAGGAGAGAGAATAGAAAAGAAGGAGAAGAAGAAAGGGAAGGGAAAAAAGGGGAAGAGGGGGGAGGTTGGGAGGAGTGGATGGTGGGGCACCAGGTTAGGTGGGGCCGGGTCAGGCGGGTGTGCCCTGACACACCCCTATGGCCCTGCCAGTTGTGCCAACCGTGGCAAATTTCAGGTACAAAAAGGGGAAGAATGTGTGGGAATGGTGTGGGGAAAGAAATGGTGTTTAATGCTGGGAGAGGTGAAAATCAAATGGATTGTGAGAGTCTTTTAATTTATCCCTACGTAACTTGTGATCTGATGGTTTTTAATCTGGTGCATCTAGGTCATACTCAAATGTAAACAATGGTAATAAAACATACAAATTGGAATATGAAGCACAGTATATACATCTATCCAAGATGTGGGAGAAATGAGGTCCAAGATGGGGTCTGGTAAAGATCAGGGGGGGGCAAACACAGAGTGGTGATGGTAAGAACAAGCAAGATAATCTGGGCAATGACGTAAGAGGCTTCCATGAGAAACCCACATACTCTGGCTACATTAGAGCAAAAATCAACAGCCTGGCAACAAGTTATACAAAAGAAAAAATTTCCAAGAGCAGAACGATAAGTATCATCTGCAGGGAGGAGAGTGATCCATTGTGTCGACATGTGCAAGGCATAAGGAATAGGGCACGCCACAATAATTATCACTGAAACCCACCATAGAATGGTCTCCCTGGGTGTTGGAAAGGGAAATGACCATGCCAAGCAATGGATCCCCCCGAAGGTGATGCCCATGGCTACACTAGCCCAAACAGGGCCATATCCAACGATCTCCGCTAGAGTGAGATTCTGAACTGCCCCCTTCTCCACACTGGGCTCTGGCTGATCGGCATCGATGTCCCTGAAACTCGGAGGTTCGAAACAGCTGGAATCTTTCGTCACATGGATCGGGAGTTGGATGAGAGTAGGTTTATGCCACCACAACACATAATCGATGACACTTAGTGTTGCATACGCCAATGTCATTGTCTCAAGTTGCGAACTATGCAAACCGCCCGCCCATCGTCCGATATAATGAATGATAAACCACAGTAGTTGCAGGATAACGATAAATTTCGCAAACCAGTCTCCTTTGCTTCTGTCAAGAATTTCTTCCTTTGCTACTGCGACCTTACCAGCACTCTCAATTATGCCTGGGTATTGTTTGAGGACATCCAGAGGGTTTTCGTTCCTTTTGGGAATCACTGCTCCTATGGATGGGTCGAAGAAGCCACACATGATGACAAAGAATGAATGCATATCCGTCCATCCTTGTGAAGAGTAGAGATCAGATTCTTGTCTTGTGTATTTCTG